CGAAATTTTCAAGCACCATGATGCCAAATGGCTTTAAAATACAACTGAAACAGTAACCCGGAAATTTAGGCAGTCCCGAGCTTGCAGCGTACCCTAGTGTAGAAAACACCATCCATTATTGTGATTAAATTTCTGCATAGTTTTACCATTTATAAGTTTTTTGTAATTCAAACTGGTTGTGAGGAGCCTAAAGCAAATTTAAGAGAATTAACATCAAAATATAGATGAATTGGAGTGTTATCCCTTATTTGTGTAAAATATTAAAGTTTGATATTGTTTGGGTGGCATATGCTTGCGAACGTTTCCAAAGTCATTTTTTTTCTGTGAAATTGAAAGAAGGCGTTATATTATAAAGCACTTTTGGCATAAAAATATTGAATGGAGCGTTTTTTAATGTTTAGGCGTAAAAATCAATCGGAAGTAGAAAAACGTAGCGCCATCTGTGCTTAGCTTTCGTTTTCCTTTTTTTTTTTAAACAACTTTTTTCTCTCTCTTTCATTCTGTTTTCGTCATTCATCCCAGAAAGCGTGTAGTAACCTTGTGTCGGAATTTTCTTTTTATTGTGACGAAAATGTTTGTACTAAAAAACTCTTTTCAATAAAGCGCAAAAATATTGCATTTTCAAACCTTTCATTCAAAAAAGGATTAAAGATTATTTTTTAAAAACTATTGTCACTTAGGTGTCCATCGTCGTGACGTTTCAGCTGACGTCATAGGATCAAATTGCATTGCCCATTCACGACAAGGTGGATTTTAGCTGAGACTTTGCGAGAAAAGAAATCTTACAGTTACCTGGATTTAAGATTATTTTCACCTTAAGACAAGCTTTATTTAAAGATTTTTTTCTCACTTGAAAACCCTAAGTCAACCTCGATTGAAGATTTTTAGATTGGCGATCGAAATGGGCTGCAGGTGGCGTAGAGCAGAACTCTTTTCCTATGGCAACACTTCACACGCTTTCCCCATTTAGCGTGTGGAAAGTCATAGAGGAAGGAAGTACGTTAGTTTCTCTCTTGATTTTCATATAGATTAAAATCTTTTAACTTGAGGAACTGTATGGAACTGAAAACTACATTAAACATAGTTCTAAAGAAAAGTATCATGGTTATTTTAAAAAATATTTTTGTTAAATAAAAAGGAAAAATATTAAGAAAAGGGAAAATAGCGTAGTACATTCCTATACAACTGAAAAGAGGAGGAGAGGGAAGGGAGAAGGGCTAAAGGCACGAAACCGATCTCTCCCCAGATGGCGTATTCGAGTGTTGCGATCGCGAATATTGGGAGTACAAATTAGTTCGGTCTGTTTTCAAAAGATAGCTCTAACTGTTATAGATGTTTCATAGTCGGTGGTTTCAGAGAGGTTAAACATCATATTTTCTGTCAATAATATTCAGCTTATAACACTTTGAGTTTCATACAAAAACCCTGTTTTTTACTTTGTTGTTTTACTTGTCAAATTTTGGTGGTAACTAAGCAGCATTTGCGGGAGGTTTTATGTTTCTTCTTTAATTGCAAGAAAAGTGCAGCTGAAGCGCATTGAATGCTTGTAGAAGTTTATGGTGACAACTTGTTATGGCTGCTACAACCTGGCGATATAGGCTACAATTGATTCGTTTGACGCATTGCGAGAAAAACGGCCGGAATACGAGCAAAGACATGACAAAGTTATTCTTCTGCATGATAACGGTTGGCCTCATGTAGCAAAAAATTATTTGGAAAAGCTCAAGTGGGATATTTTACCACACCCGCCGTATGTGCCGGACATTGCTCCTTCTGATGACTGGCTGTTCCGACGGATGCAACACGATTTGGCAGATCACCGGTTCACTTCTTTCACAGAAATCGAAAATTAGCTCCTAATTAAGATCGCTTCAAAAGGCGAGATATTTTTTCGAGATGGAATTCGAAAATTGCCTGAGAGGTGGGAAAAAGTAGTAGCCAGCGATGGACAATACTTTGATTAATGTCTTCATTCATTATTTTCTGAAATACATGCATTTTTGACCACAAAAAAAAAACGGACAGAACTAATTTATACACCCAATAGAAGATTGTTTTCCAAGGTTAGGTGAGTAGAACAGAGGAGATTGTCACACATCTCGTTCTAAGGTTTACACGTATGAACCACAAAACAAACATTTTTAGGTTTACATTAAAAGTCTGAAATAAACCCTTTTTTTTGCTATGTGGGACGAGTGTTGTTCTTCCCTGTAGAAATGTCTGATTTTGAATAATATTTATTTATGAGCAAACATTACCTGCCACGTGAACAGGTAGAAGACGAAACTGTTGGCGTAGAGGCCGACGCTGATTCCAAAGAGTACACAGACGATGGTGACAGGTTTGATGATTCTGTCGGAAATCTTTGAGAGTCGAGGTGAGTATTGCTGTATTAAAAGACCAATTCCGATGGGCAGTGTGAGGATGATGAGGGATCCGGCCAAATTGACGAAAGGTATGGTAGCCTGGCGATCGCGGAAGAGGGAAGCACCCAGAGTGAAGATCCACAAGGGCATCATGGCTAGAGTGAGCAAGAAGAGAGAAAACTCAATTGGGAAACATTGAAATCTATAGAGTGTGTCTATGACTATTTCAATTAGGGAGTGGTTTCGGCTCTTTGTGCTGAAGCTATACCCTCCCTCAAAGGCGTCATTCTTGTTTCCATAGCACTAGACTATAATGAGAATAACTTTCGGTAATTTTGAGTGAAAGTTACTTATTTTGGTAAATGTAAGGAAATTGTTGAGATGTAACAGTTAGTTTTAACTCGCAATCGATGCGCAATTATTAATTATTTAATGGATTAAAAAAGATAAAACAATAAATGCTCTCTTATGTACTCGTATTTATTGGAGATCATTTTGTTAGGTTGCTTTTTAAGAAATAATTTACGTTGCGTAAATTATAGAGTTAAATATTTATTTATATTTTTTGGGGGTTAAGTAATAGTTTTAAGTAGAGCGATGAACTGAAAAGTTTATTTTATCAGCTGTCAATCGACTCAAGCGTTTCCTATGAATTCTTTTCTTGAATGTTGTATTATTGAGTTTTTACATATTTTTTGGTGTCCGTTTAATTTGATTTGAATTTTATAGTTAAAAAAATTTTTTTTTTCGTATTTTTCATAAATAATTATGCATTTAGATTTATTTTTAAAAATGGCAGTTAAACAATGAAATCATAATATGGGTGTTAAATGATATTCGAGTGGCGCATATTCGGAAGAGTTCTCTCGGTTAAAAAAATTCAGATGTTCAAAAATTTAATTGAACCGTTCAACCGATTTGGCTCATTTATGCCACATAAAATCTTTAAAATGATGCAAAAAATTGTACATTTTTTTCAACCATTCTTAAATTAAAAAATAATAACTATTTACTTGAAATTATTTTTTGATTGGAATTATCTTTGGATAAACAAATTTTATAATTGTTAAAAAAAATATCAATTCGCTTAAAATATACAGCAGAAAGCAAATTTTACATTGAGGGGGTCTAAACTTTGGAGATCTCTCTTGACCGGAAACCCTATTTCCCACTTATAGTTTGGGGATCAGAAATCCGTATGCAGAGGAAGTACTTTTTTGTGTCTGGTTTCGTAATTTAAAATATCTTCTGCACTTAGCATATTTGAGGTCACCCCTTCGAGCCATTAAGATTGAGTCCTAGAACGTGAAGGATGGTATGTTTTTTATGTACATAATTATGTATTCACAATGTACGAGTATGTGTAGATGGAATGCTCATACAATGTTTGTACGTACCTACATGACATTTATAAACTGCGGGTATATATAAATTGTAATTGCAATATATATATTTATACGCATATACGTTGGGCAGATACATCTTGCACGGATGCAGATACATTGGATGTATTATACATATGCATAGACAAACATGTGTATACGCATATAGTCATCGGACTTACATATGTAAAGCGAGCGTAGAAAAAACGGATCCCCCTGAATAACGTTTGGTTTAAAGATCGGATCTTCATGTTTCAGGACTCAATCCTAATAGTTCGAAGCCATTCTTGTAAATAATCTCAGTCCATTATCGTAAATGAGCATTTAGAGTTGTGTCCATTTTTGAAAATGTGCATTTCAAGCTATGTCCAGATTTAAAAGCTCACCGACGAACGTTTTTTGGCTCTTTTGTTCCAAGATGGCGGATAGCATCATTACTTTTCTGACCGTTACAAGCTGAATTTATCATCGATCGAAATTTTAATGAGGACACTGTAAATTTCAATCATTTCCTGACTGTTTACAAGCGGAAATGAATATCGTTAAATAAAATTTTACTATATAAATTTAAAATGTCTTATGACCGTTATAAATAGAATTTGCCTTCAGTAGAAATCTTAGAACGAAATAATATAAATTTCAATCATTTCGTGATTGTTTGATAGCAAAATATATGTTGTCAAACGAAACTTCGATCAGGACTATATAAATTTAAATCGTTTCCTGACCGTAACAAGTAGAATTTCTATCGCCAAATAGAGTTTATCGTCCATCAAAATTTTGACAATATCCCGACCAGCTAAAATTTTAAATGGAGCTATCAGTCGAAAATTTCAACTGTTTCTTGACCGTACAAGTGAAATTTATATGGCCAATGGAGATTTCGCTAAAAAAAGTTTTTCTCTCAAATGTTTTATAAGGATTAATTTTGAAGCTCTGGAAAAGTAATAATTGCCTTTGAAATTTAAGTAAAATAAGAAAACCAAAAAGTCTTTAACTTGAAACAATTTTCGCGCAAATCGTAGCATTTTGAAAAATAGGACAAGAATTTGTAAATATGAGTTTTTTTTTAAAAATTCATTATCAACTGCTGAAGGTAACAAGGTTGATTAAATAATGCAACAAATAAATTTCAGGTCTAATTCGGATACATTTCAAGTCTATATTTGTAATGTCATATAGTCAGTAGTATTTTATGAGCAACAGGATAATTAAGTACTGGCAATCCAAGAAGAAGACACGCTATGACGTCATCACCATCCATATGGAGTATTTAATTTTTTAATGATATAACTGTCGTTGAAACACCAACCCAATTTTAGGGTTTACAACTACTCATGTTCAACTACGTAGCCTTGCAATTTTGAACCCGATCCAGAAGACAAGGGAACTCCTGGATCAAATATTGGGAGAAATTTGCCTTCGTGGAGGTCTTTTTGATGGAACTAACCCGCATTTGCGTTACATGGGGAGGAAGACCACGAGAACTTCCCATGGTTGGCCTGACGGCAAGGAGACTTTAATCCATGATCCGCGTACCACTGAGGATATTGAACGTTAACACTGTGGTCGATGCGAGCCGGATTCGTATCGACAGGGATTCGAACCAGGTTCGCCTCATTGGAAAGCGAACGCTCTATCCCCTGAGCCACCGCGGCTCTACATGGAGTTGTTTCTCTACTCATCTCAACTTTAAATGCTTCTCTTAAAATGATAATTAACGTTCAGCTAATTAAATATAAAACCGTATCGAATTTGTTGAAATATAATCCTTTCTCATCTACTTCTTTTCCTTAACTTAGATTTGTTTAGGTATTTTATTGTAACCGTGATCTAATTTTTGTTTTGTGGCAACTTCGATGCATAATAAATTTGTTTATGTTCTACATGGCTTCGTGCCTGTTTTTGTGAAAATATATGGAGTGGTAGAATTGAAATCTTTGTGAAAGAATATAGGCTGTGTTATTTAAGAGAATTTGTACTTGACGGGCTAGGCTTACTCGAAATAGAATGGAAAGAAGAACAGTTGCTAACGTAAACAAATGGCACGTATCAACAACCGATCAGAATCGAGATACCCACACTACGTCACTTGCAGGTATCCCAGTAGTATTAGGAGAGGGAAATTCTATATAAAACGCGTTAAAAATTTACATACTTTTACAAAAACAATAAACTTCTGTCTTGACTCAAGTTGAGGAATATATAAACAAAGTTTTTGGAAAATCGTCTCGTGTTCTCAAGAATTTCTCTTTACTATGGTTTGTTTTTGATCCTCCAGAAATCTTGGATTTAAAATACATGGTAGAACAATCCAGCATAAATTTCTAACCATATTGAAGTTATTTTCAGCTCATCTTAGGAGCTTTTTTTGTCGGGAAAAATTATTGTCGAAACATTTCTTCTGATTAATGGTGGTAGAAAAATAAAAAATAGTGAGGAAAAAAAAAAGAAACTATACAATGAATTTATAGAACATTTATGTAGAATACGAATCTTGCAAAGTAAAATTNGTTGTAGTACTATTGTCTGTAAGTTATATATTATTTTGAATGTAATAATTGTTATATCTGGGTTACTGTCACATGTCAAAAACCTGCCAACCCTGATGTTTTTCTCAACGATATAGTTTTTCATTTATTAATGCGCATGCAGACGATAATAAAAGTCAACAGTTATTTAATTCTATTGTTTCTTGTTTTGATATTGGCAGGGCTTATAGCTCAGAGTGATCATCTCATATTTGATTCTGCTTAGGCGAGAAATTAAATTTTTTAATCTCTCGGTTTAACGTTTCGTTTGGAATATTTTAAAGTATTTATTTTTAATTGTGATTTTTCTGATTTTTTCCCCAGTGTTTTTATTTGATTTATTTAATGTTTTCGCAATGAACACACAATGCTATTGTAAGCAGTTGTACTCACGATAACTATTCTTAAATATATTCTACATTTAGATGGAAAATCGATGAAAGTGACGTATGAAAACTCTAATTAGGAACTTATAAAAGAACAAATTTTACACATTAAATCGAAAAAACTGTCGTACGAATAAAATTTCCAATGATATTACATAACTTGTTTGTGAATTGGGATGACCGTGCTTTCCTATCTTCCGTGTTAAGAGCGCAAAAAAGAGAGAAGATATTACCCTGGATAACCGTCGAACGTGATACGTGAATTGGAACGTGATTCGGACGTGATATTATACATTAGAACGGACGTGATTAACATACTCATTAAAATCACGTGAAAATTAATGTACAATGCACAAAAAAAGAAACTATTATTGAATTTTGTTCTCATAATCGGATTTTTACGTAGTATGTGCTTACCAATTAATCAAAAAGTCTGTTCAAATATTGACTGATGATATTCATTTGATAGCAAACGCCTTAGAAGCTTAACATTGGGTTTAATCAGGATAACATCAATAAAATTTTTAAAGATTTTTCCTCTCGTCACGTTATCAAAACAGAGGCTATAGGTGTTATTTTGGATTGAGAAACCAACGGAAACACTAAAAGAATACTCTAATTAAACCTGTATTACTTTATGGCCGCGAATACCAGCCTTTAAATAAGAGAATAAACTGCTAATATTTGAAAGAAAAATAGTCTTCGGAGGAGTGTTTGGCAGAACAAATTCGAATTATACAGGAAATTTCAGCAACATAATTTCAAATACTTAATCAGAGCAAGATCATTTATTTTATGATTGGGAAGATCTACCATTGTATTAAATCGAATAATTTTAAAAGTTAAATTTACGTACTGTGATGTTCTTAGAAAACACGATAATTGATTTTAACAGTAAGAGATGTATCTTGACCAATGCAAAAGCATTTTCAGGCTATTTTTCACCTGATAGTTTTATAAATAACAACTGAGTGGGGGTTCAAAGTTAGATTAAAAAGATACAAATTATGAATGTGCTAACCCAAAGCTGCTATGGTGCTGATAAATGTCATGGTGACACTGAGGTTGACGTCTCCGTCGAATAAAAGTGTCCAAAAATTGCTCATGCTGCCACCTGGTGAGCATCCAAGAGTGAAGAGACCTAATTGCAAGCTCTTATCTTCCAGTAGAAGCAGACTTATGCCATAAGATGCCTAAAAGGAAAAAGTATTTTTTATATTATTTCAAGTTTTATGAACATTTAAAATGCATACTATACCGTGTGAAAATATTGTTGTCTTATTTTATAATCGGCCAACCTGTTTTTGGGTTTACGATCATCATTGTTCATAGCCTTGTCATTTAGAACCCAATCCAGAAGACAAAGGAAATTCTGGACTTTATGGATAGAATTCACCTGCATTACCGTCACATGGAGAAGAAAACCTCCCATTGTTAGCCTGTTAAAAAAGGGACACTAGCCCATTATTTATCTACCACTGACGATATTATACGCCAGCACTGTGGTCGGTGCGAGTCGGGAGCAGAATTCGTATCGACCAGCCATCACTGGAATTCGAACCTGGGTCACCTCATTGGGAGGAGAGTACTTTATCCTCAGTAAGTAATAGCAACAATTTGTCGTATAACAATCAATCGTGAGCACAATTAGCGACAATTCGTCGCGAGCACGATTTCTTATGGTTTTGATAGTCCAGTAATGATAGCAAAAAAAGGTGTCTTTCTTCGGAAAAATTTATATCAGTAGCATTTTTTTGTTATGTCATAATAAGTAATATCTGAAAACTCTACTACTTTCCGCTTCTCCCCCCCCTTTTTTGTTGTTGTTGAGGGAATTGGGGTGAAATAAAGAGAATTTTTTATATTTTATTTTATAACCGTTGTTGAACAGCCTACCCAATTGTTTGGATTGACGACTACTTATGTTCAATCCATTTTGAACACGAATCCAGAAGACTTAGAAAAAGAATTTGGATGCTCTCTGCTTTTAAAATGGATGTATGCACTTACATTTCCCTTAAAATTCATGTTAACACAGAAATATTCTAACTGTGCAAAAATATTTTTGAATAACATAAATCTTATCAAGACGGTTTGTTATTGCCACAAACCGCCTTGATAAGATTTCTTTTATTCAAAAATATTTTCGTACTGGTAGAATATTTTTGTACATTGAGCGAACAATCCCGTAAACTAAATATTTTAATTTTTAATAAAATGCTTTATTCTATTTTGCGTACATTTGAACTAATATTGATTATGTTTGCAAGGTTTGTTTAGGTTTCTTAAATAATCCGTAATTTAAAATGAAAATAATAATTTGCGTTAAATATTAAATTTCATTTTGCAACTTATGAAAATGTAAATTGGGTATAATATAGCCTACGTTACAGGTTGTGTTGTTCCTACTAAATTTAACCCATGAACGGCATTTTCTGCGAGCCTAACTTCAAGCCACAAATAAACAAACGAAGTGTTCGATCGTTTAAATAGCTGCTCGCCAGATTTTATTGCATTATAAAGAAAAGTTATTGAAACTAAATACAACTAAATAAACAACAACAACTAAAACAAATAACAACAACTACTAATAACAATAACTAAATAAACAACAACTAAATTCCATTCGTTTAGCATTGCGTCATATATTGTACCTACTAAATCGAAGTAGTTGTGTTTTTTTCATATTATACCCAATTGAGATATTGTTGATTGAAAATCGTTCAAAATAAACCTCTAATTATCATTTGTTCAAATGCGAAACAGCTGCCGCCATTTTTTAATCCTCAGCAGATTTTTTCTCAAGGAGTAGCTCAAATTCAGACAGTCCATGCTTTGAAGCTATTACTTAAAATTGAGCCTGTAGTCGTCTGTAAAAGATAATGTTACAAGATTAAAATTCATTGATTTGAATAGAACCTGCCGAAAAAGATTATACATGCTTTTGCTTCATAAAAAAAAATTTTTTTTTCGATTTTCATTAAAAGTTATGTATTTTCTGCTGAATTTTGATGATGAGTTACATAGTTGTAATATTGAAAAAGGAACAACTGGATACCCTATGTTTAAACATTTTTGGTCATTCTGATTTTGTTCGTTTGAATATGTAAACGAAGAACTCAATATGATAGGTCACCAAAAAATTGTGAGAAGTGATCACTTTTGAGGAATGTTGTTTCGAATAAGATCCTTTTAAAGTTTTTTTTTCTTCCGATTATTAATTTTTAGAGAAGTTTCCTAAAAAGCAGAATGAAAGAGGTTGCATCTTACATTAGAGAATAAATTTTTATTTTTCGTTTATGGTTAATTAGAAAATATTAATATTTTAATATTGATGACTAAAGAAAATGTATATCTTTTGAGTTAAATTTTTAAAAAAAATCTATTTAATTTCTTTCTTTAATGGTTCGTTCGTTTTTAAATACTTTTCGGGTGTTTATTTTAGATTGCCAAGTCAATGTTATTTCATTTTGATCACATTTATTTTTTACTTTTCTCTTCATTATTTTTACTTCATTATTTTTACTACTTATTATTTTTTACTTTTCTCATGCTCATTAGTAAGGCCCGGATTTTGATGACATTTGCATTTTTTTGCATTTTTGGACATTTTTTGCTCTTTAGAGCATTTTTTGAGATTAATAGGGCATTTTCTTTAAATTTTGGGGCGTATTTTGCATTTTAAAGCATTTTTAAATTTTTTGTTAATTTTTTTCTAATTTTAATTATTTTTTATAATTTTTTATTATTACACTGGCTTCCAAACAATGAAGAAAATCTCTAGGATACTAAAAGGTGAAGCAACATCTTTTCAAATTGAAGAAGAATTGCCAGTAAGTGTGACCGTCCTTTTCAAGTACGCACCAATAACTTCAGTAGACGTTGAAAGAAGCTTCTCCTGGTATAAAAATTTGCTTTCAGACAAGAGACGCTCGTTTACATTTCAAAATATTAAAAAAAAAAATTTAATAATCCACTGTAATTCTGATATTTAGTAATATTATGAGATGGAAGTTGTTATATTCATTTAAGTTTCTATACAAAATGAAAATG